TAACGCCTCCATGAGGGAACTGGAACGGAAACACACTTTTCAAGGCCAAGTACAGCTTCCCCCACAGCCCAAATCCCTACCAGATTCAACTAAGAAATAGATCCAAGGAGATGAAGGTGTTTTGAGTGTCAACTTTGGTGAACAGACAGACTTTCCCACCTACTCTCAGGCTAGGAAACTGGTTTTAAGAAAACAGACCTGTCGGGGCCTGCAGGAGGCCGACCACACCTGTCAGACCACACCTGACACTGATTAGAACGTGGAAGCACAGTGGACCCACAATGCCCCTGGGGAGACCCACTAAAAGCGGTAGAAGCTGGGCCAAAGCATCATTCATTCTAGCTGGGTTTAGGATCGTCCGATGTTTCCCAGCTCCCTCCTGATACAAATAATCTGTTCTTGTCTTGGAGAAGAGCAAAATGACAATGAAGAGAGGCAGAAAAGAAATATGGTATCTTTAGGAGAAGAGCCCGGGAGAAAGATGAGACTTTTTCTTTTCTTTTAAAGATTTATCATCTTGGAAATCCACAGGGGCAGTTCTACTCTGTCTTGGAAAGTCACTATGAGTTGATGGCAGTGAATTTGGTGTTGGGTTTCAACAAACACGAGAAGAAATATGTGCTCACAATCTTTAGCCATGATCTCTCCACCCCAGCAATAATAGCCAAATTCAATATGACAAAAATCAACATACTCTGGCACACATGCGGAGAGACTGGGACTCTCATGCACTGCTCTGAAGTCTCTAAAATGATACAACCACTATGGAAAATGGATTGGTGCTTCCTTACAAGATTGGAAGTATAAGTGTTATCTGATCCAACAATCACCCTACTAGGCATATATTCTAAGGAAATATAGCCAAGATCTGTCCAGATAAATGCACATCCATGTTCAAGGCAGCATTATTGTCACTAGCACAGAGATAGAAACAACCAACGAGTGCATCAGTAGATGAATGGATGAACAAACTATGGTATACACACACATTAGATTAGAATAGTATGCAATGTTAAAGAATGAAGAGCAATGGGGGGGTGGGGGGAGAGGAGCTGACACCAAGTGCTCAATAGAGATTCAATGTCTAGAAAATAATGATGGCAACATATGTACAAATGTGCTTGATACAATTGATGTATGGATTGTTATGAGCTGTAAGAGCCCCAATAAAAGGATTTTTAAAAAAAGAATGAAGAGGGATTCTTGAAATACCTCATCATGTAGATGAGCCTGGAGGACATTTTGCTGGGGGAAAGATATCAATCACAAAAGGAAAAATGCGAGTGCACTAAAAAGTTGAGAAAAGGTTTATACACAGAAAAAAACAAAACAAAAACTTTTTTTTAATGGTGACCACGGATAGGAAAGTAGGAGAGGGAAAATCATGAATGACATATTAAGTTGGATAAAGGGAAAGGTAACATAAATAAGGGAATGATCAGGAAAACAAAATCTAATTATGCACATAATTCACCTTAGCAATAGCTCTTTAAGATGAAGAGTAATGGATTATTAGCAGCTATCTATGCAGCCCTGGTGGTGCTCCTGGGGAAACACTTTATGGTTTACTGGTGCGTCAAACCCACCAGCTGCGGGTTGGGGAAAAGATGGGGCTATTTGCTCCTGTTAAGAGTTCCAGCCTCAGATCCCTATGTAGGATTGCTATGAATCAAAATAGATTCATTGGCAGTGGGTTGAGTTATACCAAGTACAGATGAAGATGTAAAGCAACTGGGACTTTCATACACTGCTCTTGGGGATGTAAAATGGTGCAGGAATGTTGGTGTGTTAGTTTGGGTAGACTAGAGAAACAAATCCATGGACACACATATGTGTGGATGAAAGACATTTATATACAAGAGGAACTGACCATTGAGAAAACATCCCAGCCCAGTCCAGATCAAGTCCATAAGTCCGACATTAGCCCATATTTCCCATATCAACCTATAAAGTCTCTTCAGACTCATGAAACACATGCAATGATGCCGAATGCAGAAGATCACAGGACAGTGGGTAGAAAGTCTTTGGGTCCAGTGTCATTAGAAACATCTCAGCACTGGCAGGGGTCTCTTTGTGGCTTCTCCAGCTTCCGAGGCCTGGTTGCATCCACGTGGTTTGTCTTCTGCAATGTCTCCCAGGGAGTCGCAGAGAGAGAGAGAGATGTCTTCTGCCTCCAAGGAGGAAGTACCAGATTTCCCAAAATTCTCAGGAGAAGTTCATGCCCACATGGAAGTCTCATTGGCTATCTCCAGATTGACAGCCTAGACTCCACCCCTACACTCTTAATCCTTAAATTGATACAGATTAGGTGACTACCACAGTTGGAAAGCAGGTTCCCGAAAGCAAAATAAAACAAAGAAACTTCCCACTGCCATTGAGTCAATTCTGACTCACAGTGATCCCATAAGAGAATAGAACTAAGCAACAAAGCCCACATGGAAGAAGCACACCAGCTTATGCAACCACGAGGTGTCGAAGGGATCAGGTATAAGGCATCATCAGAACTAAAAATCTTACCATAGTGAATGATGGGGGTGTGCGTAGTGGAGATCCAAAGCCCATTAGTAGGCCACTGGAGATCCCCTTGCAGAGGGGTCTCGGGGAGGAGATGAGCCAGTCAGGGTGCGATGTAACAACGATGAGAAATACAACTTTCCTGTAATTCCTAAATGTTTCCTCCCCGCTCCCACTACCATGACTCGAATTCGACCTTGCAAGTCTGGCTAGACCAGAGGAGGTACACTGGTACAGATAGGAACTGAAAATACAGGGAATCCAGGGCGGATGAGCCCTACAGGACCAGTGGTGTGAGTGGCGAAACAGGGAGGGTAAAGGGAGAGTGGGTAGGAAAGAGGGAACCGATTACTAGGAACTATATGTGACCTCCTCCCTGGGGGACAGACAACCGAAAAGTGGGCAAAGGGAGATGTCGGACAGGGCAAGACATGACAAAATACCAATTTATGAACTATCAAGGGCTCATGAGGGAGGGGGGAGCGGGGAGGGAGGGGAAAAATGAGGACCTAATGTCGGGGGTTTGAGTGGAGAGAAAATGTTTTGAGAATGATGAGGGCAATGAATGTACAAATGCACTTTACAGAATTGATGTGTGTACGGATTGCGATAACAGTTGTATGAGCCCCTAATAAATGTTTTTAAAAAGAGAGAGAGAATAGAACTACTCCTGTGGGTTTCCAAACTTTGTGGGAATAGAAAACCTCAGCTTTCTCCCATGGAGTGGCTGCTGGTTTAGAATTACTGACCTTGTGGTTTGCAGCTCAATGTATAATGGACTCATCAGCAAGGTTCCAGGAGGCAATATAGCAACTTCTTAACGAGGTATAAACTCATAGGCCATTCATCCCTAGAATTTATTCAAGAGGGTGAAGAAAACATGTTTATATGTAAAGACCTCTATGCGAATGCTCGTTGCAAGTTTGGAATGGTAAAAAATAATACTATCCAAATGCTCAAGGATCCCTAGTAGTGTAGTGGTTTATATGTTGGGCTGCTAACCACAAGGTCAGCAGTTCGAACTCACCAGTCATGAAGATGGAGAAAGATCAGGCTTTCTGCTTTCATAAAGATCCCTTGCCTCAGAAACCCAAAGAAGCAGGCCTACTCTGTCCTACAGGGTCATTCTGAATCAGAATGGACTTGGTAGCAATGAGTGATGCAAACACCCTTCAGTGAGTGAATAAATTGTGTTACATCCATACAGTGGAATTCTACTCTGCAACAGAAAAGAATGGACTATTGACAGTCACCAAACATGGTTGTATCTTAAAAAATTAACTTAATTAGGCAACAAAGAACATATACTATATGATTCCAGAAAATATTATCAAGTTTAAAGGAGAGAAAGTGGGTCTCAGCGAAGGAGCATGAAAATACTGTTGAGGCTAATGAAAGTCTTTACTATCTTGATTGTCCTGTATGCCTTGATCAATATGAATGTATTCCTTAAATGTGCATACTTCAGTAATACCTTAATAAAGTTGAGAAAGCCCCCACATTAAGAAACTAACACGTTAGGATTTCTAGATTTAGGCCCTCTCCTGGCCTCATTCCATAAGGGAATAATTTAGGAGGGGCATATCAAGAAATGAACTATGCTTGAAAATCAAATCATGAACCTTAGGCAACGTATAGGTAACTAAAGGTAAAAACCCGCCCTATTTGACAAAATGTAATCAGAGCTTGGTAGCAGGAGAGCTACTTATTCAAATATGGCTTATTCAACCACACAAGATAAGTTCCCCTATATTACTGTAGGCAAGAAGAGACAGAGTCTAAATTGGCTCCACCAGGGTCTCTGAGTCAGATTTGACTTCATTGTAGTAGGGTTTGTGTTAGTTTTCATTTATTCATTCATGTCATCTCAAAACCTTCTTTCACTTATTTATTTTCTACAAGAAACAGAATCCTTCTTGTTTTTATGTTCTTTAAAGCAGTGTTAAATTGTTACCATTTTTGTCTCTTAGTTAAAAAAGAAGAAAGAAACTGAGAATCAGAGCAGAAGTAACCTGCCCAAAGTCCTGCAACAAGCAAGTTGAGAGGATCTGGATTCCACATTTTAAAAAAATTAATTTAACTGGGGGCAAGTACAACTCTTATCGTAATCCATACATCCAGTGTGTCAAGTACATTTGCTGCCATCATCATTTTCAAAACTTTTTCTTTCTACTTGAGCCCTTGGTATCAGCTCATTTTTCCCCCTTCCTCCCTCATGAACTCTTGATAATTTATAATCTTTTTTTTCATGTCTTACACTGACCAATGTCTCCCTTCACTCTGGATTCCGGATTTTATCTGACTCCAATGATGATCGAATCAAAACCATACTAAGTTCTGATGATTATTAAGTTCAGGGGATCGATTTGTTAGATTCTTTTTAAGGCAAACAACACACAACAAACTTTAGATCTACTTGTTAATCAGATTAGTTGACGTGATCACCTTGCTGGTACTTTAATTCACATCTTCTTTGCTCCTCTTACCTCCAGTAAGTCTTCGTTTAAAGCCTCTGTTGTTGATCAGGAGGACGGGGTGGCCTAGGGCAAAGATAAAAGTTTTAATTTGTGCTGGGAGCCAAGTTACTAAGATCTGAAGCAAAAAGGAATTTGGGGTTTCAACGCCTCACTTCCGCACTCCACCTAGCGGTCAAGGTGTCGCGCACGTGCGTCCCAGACAGTTCCCAGGCCGGCGCGTAACTCCGGGCAACCGTCTGGTCGGCCGCCACCGCGCAAGCGCGAGCACAGGGAGGGCGGGGTGGTCGGCCCGCGGTTGCTGGGAGACGGACCGGAAACGGCTGCAAGCTGCGCTGCAGTTGGCTGCGGCAGATGGAGACGATGGGGGTGGAGCCCGAGGCCGAAGGTGGTTGCCACGAGGAAGTGGAAGCGGCCGAGGGCATGGAGCCGGCGGACGCGGAGGCGGCTGGCGGATCTCAGGGTGCGCCGAAGCCTGAAGAGCCCGGCGGCCTTGCGGGGTGTAAATGGGAGGGGCGGGCAGTAGCCGTTGGGGTGCGACCGTCCCCGCCCTGCTCCGCTGCTGGGGTTGTCTCCGCCCCGCCGTGAGACCTGCCCTGGGCTGGCTGATGTTTCGCGATTAGGAGGACCCCGAGACGGATGGCTTTGCCTCTAGGGAGTAGGGTGGGGCTAGTCAGCCTGTTAGTCCAAGGTACATTTTGTACCTTCCTAAAGGTCCCCGCAACCGCCCAGGCCCAAACTGAGTGGCCCAGGTGCCTGGGGGAAAGGAATGACTCAGGTTGGAACCGGGAGCCTGCTTCTCAGGTTTCGACATCCAGCCCGGGGTTACCCTCTAAACCCAGGGCCTGGAGGGAAAATTGGACGGTCCACAACCACCCCCCCACCCGCCCTTTATGTTGAGGGAGGAAGGTAGTTTCGGATTACAGCAAATTTTTAGAAGTACGTTTCTCTTTAATATCGACCTCTCATATCAAAACTCGCTACCATGGATTCGATTCCGGACAGAGTAGAACTGCCTCTGGGTTTCTGAGACTAACTCTTTACGGATTAGAAATTCTCATCTTTGTCCTGCGGAATGGCTGGTGGTTTGGGCCTTTCAGTTAGAAACCCATTACGTTGTCCAAACTAAGAGATGAATATTGGGATGATACTATCAACTAAACAGCATACATGAATTGGCTCCAGGGTCTGAAGCAGAAAACCCTATTGCATTTAGCTTGTCTTGTTGACTGTGTTAATGGCAGGAATCTCACGTGTTGTGTTTTTCTCCCAATAGCTGGAGTTACATTTTAACTCCAAGAAATACCACTTCATTCTTTGAATGTCATATATATGGAGTGGTTGGTTAAACGTTGGGCTGCATCTGCAGGATCGGCAGTTCAAAACCACCAGCTTCTCTGCGGTAAACAGTCTCAGAAACCCACAGGGGCTCGCTATGCGTATGGTTTTATATATATAAAACCAGTAATATCTGAAGCAGGTATTTCTGCTCTCGTAAAAACCCGAAACCGAACTTGCTGCCCTCTCTGGTCTATTCCAATTCATAGTCTGAATATGGGAGCTAAATACTGCAAGCCTACAGGTTCATCCTTTTACCATTTCATGTTTCAAATCAATTCTTTTTTTATTATAAGATATACCGCTTAAAACTTTTTGAAGTGGAAAGTCAGTGTTGTTTATTTCTGCTCTCCTATTTACTCCTAAATGATACTATACATTTCCAGGTAATAGTGTTAGCTCTTGAAATTATGATCCATATCCCCCCGCCAATTTATTACTGCCCTCTAAAATGCAGTGCACAAAGAAATGCTGAGTAGGTAAATAGGACCATTGCAGATCCTGCCACAGTAGTATGATGGAATAATCACAAATGAGGTACTCCATAAGTGTTTGTCTATCTCTTCTTAGAATATTTAGATATTTTGATACATATAAAGAACCCTGGTTGCATAGTGCATTATATGTTGGGCAGCAGTTGGATCACACCAGCCACTCTTTGGAAGTGGCTGCTTTGTTCCTCCTTAGAGATTTGCACCCTCCAACCAAGACCCAAAGGAGGGGCAGTGCTCTGTCCTATTGGCTTGGTGACAGAATTGACTCATCTAAAACCACTGTGTTCTCCTTTCTCACCTGTTAGTAACTGTTACAAAGAACTGTATGTAACTTGAGGAGCAGTCTGACTAATTTTTTATATTTTGCATATCGTGTAGGAGCTCATCATGAAGTGGCACCAACAGGAAATCCTTCATCCCGAGTTATAGTCCATGTGGATCTGGATTGCTTTTATGCACAAGTAGAAATGATCTCAAATCCAGAACTAAAGGGCAAACCTTTAGGTAATTCTGACCACTGTTAATATTTCCATTGTGTAATAAGTGAATGAACTATTTTTTTAATGTGTTCTGATAGTAATCAGATGAGGAAAGACCTAAATGTAACCTGGTGGAAGCTATTCTCAATGGTAATCTGACTCACTGCCAGGGTGTAATCTTTCTAAGCCTTATTTAATAAGCAGTGAAACTAGTGGAGTAGTCAACTGACCAGATGATCAGAGACTAGATCTTACAAGACTTACAAGACTGGGTCTTGTAAGTTTTTGAAAATGTGTAAGTCTCTTATCTCAAAAAGAACCTTTGTGATTACATGTTTACTAGAAAATTTGGTCTTCTCCCTTTTGAAATCAACTTCTGAATTTTAGAAAGTCTGAGAAGAAGGTTGGATAGAACAAACGTTAAAACATTTTATTAAATTTTACATTGAAACATAAAAGAAATTTGACATTAAGTATTTGATTATTGATATTCTGGCTTGTTCCTATTTTATATGGGGATAGTAGAGGCTTTGGGGTTGTGGATTGGGCTGGTCTGGATTCAGGAAGGATTAGTCTTTTACTACCAGAATTAGTCTTAGTACAACTATAAGCATTATGTCAGGTTGCTTTGAGTTAGAATCTACTTAGTGACAGTGTTTGTTGAAATACCAAGAAGGGAGCTCTGGTGTTACTTTCAGGTAAGCGTTGGGCTGGTAACTACAAAGCCAGCAGTTCAAATCCACCAGATGCGCCAAGGGAGAAAGAGGAAGTTGGCGGCTCAAGTAAAGGTGGACAGCCTCATGAAAAGAGAGCGAGCGAGCAATTACTAGAAAAGGATACCATGATATAAAATTGTTGGGTTCTGTTGAGTCGATGTCAACTCGTAACAACCCCATGTGACAGAGTCCAACTCCCCCATAAGGTTCTAAAAGAAAAAGATTTACAGCCTTGGAAACTGTGGAGCAATGATGAGTCACACATGATTCCGTGGCCATGGCTGGGATAAGCAGGAAGAGCAATTTTCTTTCACTTCCTGCCACCGACTTACTGTCTACCTTGACTTTTTATTTTTTTAATATTTATTGTGAGTTCAGCGAAGTTGTGGAGAGCGGGCCATCATTTTTACATTCAACAGTTCATACACATTGTGTTTCGTGTCGTTTGACTTTTGAAATGGCTATGCAGCCCAGCCTAGTTAATTTATCAGAGAGCAGGGGAATGATTACTTTTTGATATGCCTTAGGTGAGCAGTTTTAGTATAGCTTTTTAAGGGTGTCAAGCCTTTGGATCAAAGGTGCTTCCATTCTTTCCTCAAAGCATTGTTAGCAGCAGTGTGATGGAAACCAAAACTACACGCTTTGTCGCTGAGCCACGTCAGCCGCTTCTAGAGCACAGAGTAGCACTGCCCTGTATAGCTTCCCAACTAAATCTTCATGGAAACACCCGCCACAAGCCTGCTTCCCTAAGCCTGGTGGATTCTAGCTGTGTCCTTTGTGGTTAGCAGCCGGAGCTTACCCACTGGGCCACCAGGGCTCCTGGCTCTAAAGAATGCTTAATAAAAAGCTAGTGTGTAATTAAGAAGCAGGAATGAATGGTTATTAGAAAGTGAGGGAGATGAGTGTTGAAAGCCTCTTGGATGTAACAAACGGAGTCTTTATAAGGAACAAATATTTCAGTGTTAGCACTTTCAGGGGGAACATATAGTGGTGGACCCACATCATTGATTTCTGAACCGAAGGGCTGTACCTTTCTAGTTGAGGAAGTTGCCAATCCCATCTCCTATTTCCTTTGGCCCAGTGAGTCTATTTTTTGAGAATCTAATATTCAAAAGAATTTTAATTGAAAATATTTTTTTTGACAGTTTTTACCAAAACTTTATAAGAAGTTCATGGAAAGATAGAATTCAAAGATCATTTTTCCATGAGCTTTTTCAAGCCCCCATGTATAGTCAGTTGGTGATTTTAACTTAATCATTTTGATAAGAGACAGCGCACAGTATCACTTTCTGTGATTTTCCCCCTGCATATCCCTCTGAAGAACAATTTCAGTTGTTTGAATGTTTGTAAGGGAAGATCCCTAGCTATTACTATAGTTTGGCATTTGTAACAGCATTGCTTTGTGTCCAGTGAGAAGTTGCTTCCCCTTTAAAATTAATATAGATTTGCTCTCACATCGAAGATGATAGAATCAACCCCTAGTGCACGGGCAGCATTGGAATCACTGAAAAGATTCCCAGCCTTTTCTTAAACCAAAAGCCAAAGTCACTGTCATCAAGTCAATTCTGACTCCTAGCATCCTATACAGGGGTTCCAAGGGAACATGGGAGCAGATCACCTCATCCTTCTCCCACAGAGCCCCTGGTGGCTTTCATCCACTGGCCTGAGGTTAGCAGCCCCCGGTTTACCTGACAGCATTCCCACGCTCCTTTTCTTGCACTAAAAAATTAAACAACTCACTGCTGTCAAGTGAACACTGACTCATAGCAACCCTACAGAAAGCCTCATTTTTCTCCCTTGCACTAAACAAAGGCTCAGTAAGAATTCTAGCACCCATTCCGAATTACCTACAAATTTGACTTTAAAAACAATTGGGAACTGGTGGCTTAGTGGGTCACAGGTTGGGTTGCTAACCACAGGGTCAGCAGTTTGAAATCACCAGCTGCTCAGCAGGAGAAAGACGAGGCTTTCTATTCCTGTGAAGATTTACAGTCTTGCAAAACCCACAGGGGCAGTTCTAGCCTATCTTTCTTACAGGGTCATCTTACTTTAGTGTTCTAACAGGAACTAGTAATTGTACTCAGTTGCTTTTACCTGGTCTGTATTGGGTTGCTCTAAGTTGGAATTGACTCGATCGTAGTGGACGTGGTTTTGGTTTGGTTTATGTTTTTGGCAAACCATGACCTAAAGTTAAAATGTGTCAATCCTTTATCTGGATTTTGTACTGTCTTAAAAAAAACAAAACTTAGAAAGATTTAATTTTTATTTTACTCAAAGATTCCATTTTTGTGAAAGTCAAAAAACAAAATAGCACAGGTTGCCTTTTATATTTGAAATAATTGATCCCTCTTCTAACATGTAATTCTTTCTACTATGACCTGGTGATCTAATATACAGTAATATACTGTATATTATATATATATACACAGATATATAGATCTGTAATATATATATATATTACAGATCTAATCTACAGCTTTTCTTCCCTAAGTAGTCAGATGATTAAAAATAGGCTGTGAAAAAACATATAGATACTTCTGATTCTTTAGTAGGGGATAGATTGAGATATTAGTATTTCTGTTTTGTAGAAATATGGATAGAAACATGATTTTAGACTGAAATAGGGCTTTTTACTCTTACTAAAACATTGCATTACAATTTATTCAATTACAGTAATATCGTATAATATACAATTATAATATAGAAGTGAAGCAAACCATTGAACACTCAACTACTTACCTAAAGACTGCTTCTTGCTCACCCTGTGGTGCTTGAGAAGAAAGGCCTGGCAGGCAGCTTCTGAAAGGCCATAACCCTGAAACCTTTACGTCATGCAACTCCCCTCGCCAGCACGTGGGGTCGTCATGAATGGTAGCTGGTTTTAATCTTGATATGGAGATAGTAAATTGCATTTTATGATATTTTTTTCAATCCTGTTCAGTTTTTTCATGAAATATTTATTTTTGTAGGAGTTCAGCAGAAGTATTTGGTGGTCACCTGCAACTATGAAGCCAGGCATCTTGGAGTTACAAAACTTATGAATGTCAGAGAAGCAAAAGAGAAGTGTCCACAGCTGGTGCTAGTCAATGGGGAAGACTTGACCCGCTATAGAGAGATGTCGTATAAGGTCACAGGTACAGATTTCAGGCAATAGTCATTTAGCATTAATTTTTCTGTGAAATGCCTATTTTTTACATTTTAATGTGGAATGCCGTACATAGTTCAGTTACCTTTTTCCTAAAACATTTATTTCCGGACTTTTTTCATAAAAGAATAGGAGCCTTTTTATAAATGATGCTGACATGAAAACGTGTTGTTGGAAGTAGCTTGAGCTGCCATGACTGGTATTTATATAAATACCAGAGAAAAGGCAAAACAACACTGAAAAGAAAATGGGAAGATATGCCATAAAGAAAACCAAATATATAAAATTAAAGATTTGCTATGTTTTTATGCAAATAATATGCTTTTGTTTGTTTGTTTGTTTACCAAATACTCCCAACCTCACTTCCTGAGATATTTTCGTAAGCATATCCTACTAAAATTTTTTTGCATAGAAATAATGGTTAAGAACCAAGTATAAATGATTAAGTAATATACTGTTCTCAAAATCAATAATGACCGTGAGATAGGCTTCCATAATATTTGATTAGCATAAATAATATTTGATTAGCATAAATATTTTTACACTTAACAAAAATAAAATTAACCTTTTTCAAGGATTTTATGTATAAACTAAGTATAATGTAGCTAAACTTTTATGTTGAGTTTGGGGTTTGAATGTAAGTCAGTGTTTTAGTGAATTCGAGAAAAAATAAGGTATGCATATAGGCATATGCTGATACTCTATGTACATGAGAATCAGCCAAAAACTATTGCTAATAGGGTTCTATTTCAAACATGCATGGGTTTATTCCAAGTAAAATGTGCTCAAACCTGTCTCTGCGATCAGTGGATGGCCACAGGTAACTTAGTCATAACACGCTTTCGAGGGTGCCTTCTCAAAAGGTTCCCATCAAACAGGGACTTGCCAGAGAATCTGCTGCGCTAGTTAAATTCAAGACAGAGATGTCAGCTCAGAAGGTTGGGGTGGCTATTTTCTTAAGAATCCAAAGGGGGGTAATCATCAGAAATTTCCTTAAAAGACGCAGCGTTGTCCCAGGAGTTTATGTTGAGGACGTTTTAAGGAAACGGAATTCCGTACATTGATGAGAGAAGGGCCAGGAAAGTTGTACTGGTGACTTAGTTTCCCTCAGGATAGTGCACCTGCTCCTTCTTCTGCTAGGAAACCCCATCCCCTTTACAACCCTGACCTTGCCCCTGCAGACTTTGCCTCCTAAAGTTTAAAAAACCTTTAACGGGGACATGATTTCAGGCCTTTGAGAATGCCAAAACTGTTGTTTTGAGGTGGTGATAGGTGGAAGAGCACAAAACTCCCTGGGCAAGGTCATGAGAGTACAGCTTCCCAAACTTTTGTGGCATATTGCCCCCTTTTCAGACAAAAATATTACTCGGTGCCCTTCTGGCAATTAAAAACATTTGTCCTATATCCCATCATCCAGGATAAAGAGTAGTATACACTTTTGCAACCACTTGGATTTTTCCAGAACCCCCTGGAGCAGTGCCATCCAAGTTGGGAAGCACTAGGTTAGGGGGACAAACTGCCTTCAAAAGTGGATAGACGCCAGTGGAGACTATGTCAGGAAACAATAACCCCAAACCACAGTCACTGCTACTAAGTTAGTGCCACCTCACAGTGACCCTGGATGCCTGAGGGGAACTGCGCAGTGGGCCCCACGGCTGCCCGTCTCCCTGGGGACAGAAAGGCCGGTGGGTTCCACCAGCTCACCTGGCTGTGACAGCTTCCCACTTTGATATTTTTGTTTAATAAGAGGGTTTACTGCTTTTGCAACAGTACATGTCTACTGCCCCTCATGTAATTAAAAATATACCAGGATTTTTACTATCATTTTTGTTTGTTTTAGATTATAGCAGTTTTCTCTGAAAGCAGCAAAAATATATAATATGTAGAGCTCTTAGAAATTAACAAAGGGAGGGGGAAAAGAAAAATGGATAAAACATATAAATAGGGAATTCACAAGAAGAGCGAACACAAAAACCCAACAATTATGTGAAAACACATTCAAGTTAGTGGCTAAGGATGTGAATTAGTAAGGCTTATTGTTTCACTGTTTTATGCCCATATCTGCAAAAAAATAAAGGATATTAGGAAAAATAAAATCATCTAGTATTCAGCTTTTACAAAGGCAATCTGGAAGCATCTATTAAAATTAAAGCTGCATATGTTCTTTAGCCCAATTGTGTCATTGCTGGGAATTTTTCTTCTTTTTTTTGCTGGGAATTTTTCAAATAGAAATAAGATTATATTTATGAATAGGTAGAAGTACAGAGGTTTTTAAAATAATTTCATAATTGATAAAAATATAGAATGAAAACAAATGTTCATTTGTGGGAGAACGATTAAATAAAGCTTCTTTACCCTGGAAATTTATACTATTAAAAAGATTGTTTTGAACCTGTACTGTTTAACTCATAGCAGTGGGCCTTATTTGTAAGTTGTAAATGACCCAAAATCATATGTAGCTCATTCTAACATATGTGTAAATCTGTGGTCCAAACCCCTCTCTCAAGGAAAGGATGACCAATAAAAAAATAGTGCATGGTAGTTTTTGGTATTGTAATATAAGGACATTTCTCATAGACCCAGTTGTAATTGGAACTTTTTTGGTTTATTTTTTGTTTTGCCCTGATACACTCTTATGGAAAAATAGAGCTAAAACATACTAGTCCTTGTTTTGACTTCTAATCTAAGCAGACTGTAACTTATTCCTGACATACTGCTCTAATATCCCAGTTAAATGTAAACATTGATGTTCAATCAAGTGCCCATATAGAAAGAAAAGCGCAAAGAAATGAGCTCTAAATACATCGCCATGAGTAACTCCCCTAGGGGTTTTGAGTTGGGTCTTTTTTTGTTAGAAAATATTGCCTCAACTCTATAAATCATATTTAACTGAGAGTCTTGGTAAAGATACAGCAGAACTGTAAATATTTAGAAAATTTAATATGATAGGAGATATATTTTTTAGCCTAAAATAGTCTGTTGTAGTTATAGTTTCAGTTACATCTGTTTCAATTTTCTTATTTCCCTCTTTAGAGGTATTGGAAGAATTTAGTCCAGTTGTTGAGAGACTTGGGTTTGATGAAAATTTTGTGGATGTAACAGCAATTGTTGAGAAGAGACTCCAACAGCTTCCAAGTGACGAGCATGCTGCAGTGAGTGTGTCGGGCCACATATACAAGGAACAGTGTGAGTGGTGGGCTTGTACTCATCCTGTTCAGAAAGTCTATGCTTGGCTTGTTCAACAAGCTGGCTTTGGCCTTCTGAAAGTGATGCTTTGTTGGAGATAAAGTCATATTTAATCTGTCTGTTGGTTCCGTTAGGTGCCATTGAGTCATAAGTCTGACTTATCGTGACACAGTCAACAGAATGAAACTCTTTCCATTCTGCCCCGTCCTCACAGTTGTTCTTATGTTTGAGCCCATTGATGCAGCCACTGTGTCCATCCATCTTGTCAGCGGGTTTCCTCTTTCTCACTGCCCCGCTACTTTACCAAACATGATGGCCTTCTCCAGGACCGGTCTCTCCTGACAACATGTCCAAAGTACATGAGATGAAGTCTTGCCATCCTTGCTTCTAAGGAGCATTCCAGGTGTACTTCTTCCAAGACAGATTTCCTTATCTCATCCTAAGTTATAGGAATTGACTTCTAAGCTGAATTTACCTTTGCTGCCTTGTTTTGCTCCTTGACTTCCCCAGTTGCCCCTTGTGGAATCTTGTCCTGTCTTCTTTGCCATGTGCTTAGTTTCTTTGAAAGCCTCTGATTAATCATTTCAAAGAATTGATGCCAACTCCTTGCAAGAGAGCACAGGGGTTTTGTGGGAATAATCTTTAAAAGAATTAATACCATGCTAGTCCCAAGGAGTTGGAGGTTCATGATCGTTCCAAAGGTCCAACTCTTCCAAGCGTGCTATTCAGCTCCGTTCCTCCCCCTCCCCCCTCCCTTGAGTGTATTATTCCTTTATGTTCCTGGGCTCTGCAAATCACTGTCACATCCCACAGAAACTCAGGAGACATTGAGGAATGGTTTCATGTGATGAGGAGGTGTTCAGTCCCAAATCCAAAGGTCAGGCAGGAGGGAGCCAAATACAGGGTCCAAAACCAAAAGCTAAAATGTCACAGCAGGTCCTCTTGCTTCCACCAATGCTTAGTCAGGAAATAGAGGGCTGGTTTTCCAGGCGAGGCAGTGACGTGTGGAATCGTGTGGAATCATATGGTGGCACTGTTATATGTCCATGGAAAACAAAGAGCATGGTGTGGTTCATGCCTGGTTCTAAAGTGGGATCTTACAAGTGTCATCAAGGGAACAAAGTGTGGCCCAATTCACATCCTCTAAGGTCAGGTCTTAATCCCTTCCTATTCCTGGTAGAGCATGTCCTCCAAAATGGGACTGTTGTCACAAGCATATAAAGTCCAGAATTATGTCACATAAGTAATTATGGCAAGAAGGCCATATTAACTGACTGTCACTCAGGTTTGTCTTCACATATTAAGGTAGGAATGACTTATAGGGTCTCCTGTGATATTTGCATTGGAAAACAGCTCTGAACAATTTCTGAATAGACCATCTGAAGTCTGGTCTCTGCTGCTGGCTGTCTGTCAGACCACATGGAAGGTGCACTGCCTGTTTATATGACAGACGAGTCCTCTCACTCAGGTTCCAGCATGTCCATCTTTGTACTACACTCCCCCCCCCCACCACACCCCCTCCCTTTGAGAGTTACCCTGCCCTCTGCCTCATCCTCCCATACTCAAGAAGAAGAGAGGCTGAGCCACACTTCTCTTATGGAACAAGAAATGAATCTGTTCCTGTATCTTTGATACTGTGTTCTTTTGTCTGTGTAGCAAGACATTTTCAAAATCGTTTTTTAAAAGCACACTTGGATTTTATAGGTTAGCACAGGTTATAGAGAGCTGTGTTTTAGTTCTTAAGTTGAAAATGAAAATGTTGTTGATAAATTCTCTCTCTTCTCCACAATTTTATTGAGAACTTTTTTTTCCACACTGACAGCAAAACGGACATAGTAGCAAAACAGGACATCCCGTTCTGCCCGTGTATTGGCTCTGCGGTTGGGATCGCTTGGCCACATTTGCGTGCTCCTTCTGCTCAGGCTTGCCTCCTTCTCCATTGATTAATGAACCATTTGACAGTAAAGTAATTGCACATCAAGACTCTTCATCCCTAAAAGCTTCTGTAGGTGTCTCCTGAGGATCAGGCAGTCTCATAGCACCCATACTATTTTCACACCTGAGAACTCACTTTGTTATCATTTCCCTGCTCAGTCCACGTCTCCTAAAAGATCTCGTAAGTTCTTTGCATACGGATCAGAACTGTTTTTCATGAACACTTTGCTATGGCACAAACGTTACATTGTTGGGGTCTTGAAAGCTATGATGTTACTTCCTTATTGTGTAATAACATGGTGTGTGCGCATTTACAGGGAAATGCGAGTAAAAGTTTTTACTGCTGCCAGCTGGATTTTTTTTTTGAGAGAGAGATACCTTCAATATGTATTAATAATTAAGCACCACCACTGTATATTCATTGTCACCCAAAGAACCCACTTCCATCAGGCCATTTCGAACTCCCTGCAACCCTGTCTCAGGTTTCCAAGACTGGTACTTACAGGCGCAGGCAGCCTCACTTGTCTTGTCACAGGCCCGGGGAACTCACTTGCGTTTACAGCAGTCTTGTGAGGAAGGCAGGAAGGAGATTGGTTAAGTGGGTGGGGTTTGGTGCTGGTGGTGGAGACTGGTGTAAGCTAAGCCTTATACTCTCCTACAACTTGTGTAAGTGAGAAAACGAAAGCATTCTGCAGTGACATTTAATGACTTTTGGTTCTTATTACAGCTCTAAACCTACATGACATCTCCCATCTCAGGCTCGTTGTTGGATCTCAGATTGCAGCAGAGATGCGGGAAGCCATGCACCATCAGCTGGGCCTCACTGGCTGTGCTGGAGTGGCTTCTAATAAACTGTTGGCAAAATTAGTATCTGGCATCTTTAAACCAAACCAGCAAACCGTCTTATTACCTGAAAGTTGTCAAGATCTCATTCGTAGTTTGAACCACATAAAGGAAATACCCGGTAAGACAAATAGAGTTGTAAAGGATTCTTTAATTTTGTATTTGTTGTGTTTCTTTAACTTTTAAATTATAGAGACACTATAATGAATTCTTAGAGTGTGCATACTTGGCTCTTTGAAAAACCAAAACACCTGATGTTTACTGGAAAGAATCTGAGTTAGGAAACGAATGAAAGGACTTTGCCACTGTCAACATACTTTTTCAAAGTTAGAGTATCGTCATAAACATTGTATGTGGAATCCTAATGGTCCTATATGCATGTCCACTCCCTGGTTCATGCTTTTCTAGTGTGCAATGTATACAGAGAGGGGAGTTGGCCTTGTGTTAACTCTGTTCGGGGATTACGTATGTGATAGTTGCATCAGAAGGGGCCTTCCAAGGAAGAAGCTAAGCTAGGTCTCTCATTTTAAAGGTAAGGTAACTGACTTTCTTGAATGGTTCATTGACCTAGTCAGGTCAATGGACAAGATTGTCTTTTTGAAGATCAAATACTGAAGATTTTAGAGAACATCACTGGTGTTCATTCAATGGCTTTGCTAGTGTTTAAGAGGTTATTGTAGATTTCTGATTTAAATCGATTTTATCTGAAGAGGAGATCACTTCTTTTTTTTTAATAATTATTTTATTGGGGGCTCTTATAACTCTTGTTACAATCCATACATCAATTGTATCTGACATATTCGTACATATATTCCATCATTCTTTTCTAGACATTTACTTTCCATTGAGCCTTTGGGATCAGCTCCTCTTTTTTTCCCTCCCTCCTCCCCACCCCACCACCCCTCATGGCCCCTTGATAGATTGTAGACTGTTAATTATTTTCACATCTCACACAGGCTGCTGTCTCTCTTCCCCTCTGGTTTCTATTGTCCTTCCCCCTGGATGGGTGTGTGTGGTTATGTGCCATTCATTGTGATTGGTGCCCCACTCCCTCTCCACCTCTCCCCACCTTCCCCCTACCCTTTTGTTATCTCTATTCCCATTTCTGTCCCTGAGTTCCATGTGTTGTGAGTTTTATCTCTTGCCTATACCTATGTGCATCCTCCCATCTAGTCTAGCTTGGGAAGCGACACTGGGGTCATGATAATGGGGGGTGAGGAGGCCTCACGGGATCAGAGGTATATTGCATGACCCATTAGTGCTCTACGCACCCTGACTGACTCAACCCCTCCCTTCAACCCCTCTGTGGGGGGATGTTCTATTGTCCATAGGTGGGTTTGGGGTCTCTGCTCCAACCCCCCTCCATACTCACCAATGCATTTTTTTGGTTTGTTTACTGTTTGTTGTGAGTCTTCTAATGTCCGTTGCCTGGTCTTGATGACACCTAACAATTGCACCCACTAGTGTGCTTCTTCCATGTGGGCTTGTTGCTTCATTGTTGGATGGCTGCTTGTTTAACGTCAAGCCTTTAAGACCCCAGGCACTCTATCTTTTATAGCCGGGCACCGTCCTCTGTCTTCACCACATCTGCTTATGCACCATTCTGTCTTCAGAGATCGTGTGTGGGGGATGAGCGGTGGGGGAGGGTGAGCATCACAGAATGCCAATTTGTTAGAACCAAGTGTTCTTGTATTGAGGGAAGGTCTAAGCCGAGGCCCAAGGCCCGTCTGCAGCTTTATAAATATATGTATATATAGGTCAATACCACTTATGAATTCAGGTATTTACATAAGTGGACACCTGTCAATCTACCTTCCTATGCCTTTGCTTCCTAGAGCTTACCTCTGTTTCCGTTTGCCTCCTCCTGCCCCGCCCTCACTTTCCCCCTTCTTCCCCCTCTTAGTGCTTCCTCTCAGCTAGCTTGCTGTACTACTCACAGAATCTCTACCCTCGCTTAGATACTGATTCCACTTCCCTTGTGTTCCCTGTCCATGATGCCGTCAGCTCACCACACCCTTCTCCCCACAGAGGTCACTTCTAATAGTCACTCTTGCATGACTCCAAACTATGGTAATCACTGCCTTGCCTTCTCTCAGACAGTGTTGCTGATGACCTGGGTCTGGGTGGCGAACAGTTACTCTGCCGGGTTGTAATAAGTTCAGGACTGTACACGGACACAAAACATTCTCACTCAGCTCTGCTTTCTGAGTTTTGGTATCTGCTTTGTAAACATTTCTAATTTTCCCTTAGGGTTAAGTTGCCAGCTCTCCCTCATTTCAGCTTGCGTTTCCTGTGCTAGGAGACTGGTACTGGTCGCCATGGTAATGTTGCGGTTCTAGGTAAAGAATGGGGCAACCAGAACAGAAATGATGCGGATGCTCATGCTGTGTGAAGAATGTAACCAATGCCACTGGTCACGGAACAGCTTGTATAGAAGGAACCTAAACTGCTGTGTAAACCCTCGATGGAGACCCAAGAAAATATTTAAAAACAAAATACAGGACATTAAAATGGTCTTAATAGTCCTTCTATCAAAGTGTGACTGAGTTTTTGTACAAGAACCTGTGTGATAGGAGTTGTGCTGTTAAGATGGCTCATTTTCTGGCTTTTGGTTATACTTTGCATGATAAATTTGTCTGGGAATCACTTGAGTTAGGTAATAGACACTAGCTATTTAACATTCATGGTTCTCTTGACAATCTTTGTATGGACTAGAATCATGATGATGTCATACTTCTACAGTGTTATTTAACAGCCCCAATGTCACTTCTTCAAAATGGCACTTCCTGTTTCTGTATTCATTATATTGACCCCATTATACTGACCAGTGTCGCTTCCCAATCTAGACTAGACGGGAGCATGCACATAGGTATAGGCAAGAGATAAAACTCACAACACACGGAACCCAGGGACAGAAATGGGAATAGAGATAACAAAAGGGTAGGGGAAGGGGTGGTGGTGGAGAGGGAGTGGGGCACCAATCACAATGAATGGCATACAACCACACCTAACTATAAGGTCTTGTGTAACTCAGGGGCCCTTAGAGAACTTAAGGATGAACTTTTAATATGTGAATTCATTTGACTTTCAGGAAGTTAATCCATTGTGGTGTATGTTTCTCTTTGTTTAGGGATTGGCTATAAAACTGCCAAACGTCTGGAAGCACTGGGGATCAGTAGTATTTATGATCTTCAAACTTTTTCATCCAAAATATTGGAAAAAGAATTGGGAGTTTCCATTGCTCAGCGTATCCAGAAGCTCAGTTTTGGAGAGGATAATTCTCCTGTGACCCCCTCAGGACCTCCTCAGGTACATGGTCATGCGGTTGATTTGAACTAGGAACTAGTTGTCCCATGATAGGTGCCCTGGTGGTGTAGGAGGTTGTATGTTGGTCTGCTGACCACAAGATCAACAGTTCAAACCCACAAGCTGCCCTGTGGGAGAAAGATGGGCTTTCTGCTCCCATAAAGATTTATAGCCTCGGCAACCTACTCTGACTCTTATAGGGTCTCAAAGATTCACTTGTCTCCATGGCAGTGAGTTTGTTATTGTTGTTTTCTGTCACATTATTGGAGATACAGATTTCTGGCTTTAGTACCATATTGTGACCATTCTAGTTTACCTATTAGGTTGGTACATGAGTCCATTCCTTTTGGGAATATGCCTCATTTTATTAGTTTAATAAATATTCTTAAATCGAATCCTAAGTTTTAATCATTTTAAACCACTTTGATTGAAGTCAACCTATTTTAATAACATATGCTATGTTTTGGTCTGCTAGCCACAAAGATGTTGTTTCAAACCCATCAACTGCGTTTCTGAGGAGGGAAGACGAGGCTCTCTCTCTGTAAAGGTTCATACCCTTGCAAACCCTATATATGGCAGTATGTGGTCAGATCAACTTGAAAATAGTGGTAGTGTAAACGTTGTACGATATGAGGCCATATATATCTATTTTTTTCATCTTATTTTCAGAGCCATTCAGTGAGTTAGGAAATGGGGAAAACATGTAATTACCCAGTTAACGTTAGTTGATTTCTTCCTATGTTACAAGCAATTGGCTATGTGTATTAACTCTGAATTGTCCCAAGAAATCTTGGAGATGGGTAGTTCTCTTCTCCCTCCCTTCCTTTCTCCTTTTTTGCCTTCATCCCCTGCTATTAGAAAGATGAAGCCCCTATCCTGTAGTGTGTTAGTCTGGGTGGACTAGAGAAACAAATTCATAGACACTCATTTGTGTGTAAGAGAGAACTTTATATCAAAGAGCAATCATACATTATGAAAACATCCCAGCCCAGTCCAGATCAAGTCCTTAAATCTGGTATTAGCCATTTGTCCTATACCAGTCAGTAAATTCCTCTTCAGACTCACGCAAAACATGCAATGACGCCAAATGCAGGAAGGCACAGGTCAGTGGGTGGAAAGTCTTGTGGATCCAGTCGCAGTGGAAGCATCTCAGTGCTAGCGTGGGTCTCCACATGGCTCCTCCAGCTCCAGGGCTCTGGCTCCATCAACTAGGTTCCATGTGTCTTGTCAGTCAGCAGGAATATGTAGCAGAGAATGTATCTGACCTCTAGTGAGCTATTTATCTCCTTCATGCCTCCAAATGAGGTCATCAAGATGCAACCTGATTGACAGGCTAGACTCCACCCCTTCGCAAGTTAACAGGAGACTGTAACTGCCACACTTAGAAAGGCAAAGAACCCAACCTAGAAGGTTAAGCTCAGATTCAAGTTCCAGGGCAGCGGTTCCCAACCTGTGGGTTGCGACCCCTTTACCCCTTTGGGGGTCGAACGATCCTTTCACAGGGGTTGCCCGATTCACAACAGTAGCAAAATAACAGTTATGAAATAGCAACAAAATAATTTTATGGTTGGGGGGGGGTGGTCACCATAACATGAGGAACTGTATTAAAGGATCGTGGCATTAGGAAATTTGAGAACCACTGTTCCAGAGGATTAAAAGCCTTGCTGACAAGGTCTACATATAACCTCCTCCCTGGGGGACAGACAGCGGAGAAGTGGGTGAGGGAGACGTCAGATGGTGTAAGATATGATATAATAATAATAATTTATAAATTATCAAGGGTTCAGAGGGAGGGGGGAGCCGGGAGGGAGGGGGAAAAATGAGGAGCTGACACCAAGGGCTAATAGAAAGCAGGTGTTGTGAGAATGATGAAGTCAACATATGTGCTAATGTGCTGGACACAAATGATGTATGTACGGATTATGAAGAGATGTATGAGCTCCTAATAACATTATTAAAAAAAATACCAAAAAAAGAGCCTTGCTGAAATTTGACAGTAAAGCTTGGAGTAGGTACTAGAATATCATCATTTTCTTGACTTCGAGTGCACTTCCTACTGGAGTACAAGACAGCTAAAGACTTAATATGAGAGTGAACTAAATGGCTTAAACTAATCTCAAGGTAAGTTCGCAAAGAAGGTGCCAAATGCTGATTTGACTTAAGCTGATCATTGATGTACTTACTTGTTGGGTTTATAATAATCCTTATTTGTGCTTCTTTGCTAGTCCTTTAGTGAAGAAGATTCATTTAAAAAGTGTTCCACAGAGGATGACGCTAAAACAAAGATCGCAGAACTCCTTGCTAGTCTTTTGAACAGGTGATTGTCCATTTTGCCAAGTCTTCGATGTCTGTTCTGCAGATTACATATGGAAAGAATGCTTGTTGTTGTTCCTTGAGGGCTACACAAAGTAAAGACTCCCCGGGTGCTGCAATTGATTCTCACTCTCATCTGCTAACCCAAAGAATGTAGGTTAGAGTCCACCCTCAGATATCTCAGAAGAATGGCTCCAGCCCAGTTCTACTGTAACACACATGCGACCACCATGAATCAGAGGCAACTGAACAATGACTTTTAAACTCATGTAAACATAGATCACTTGTCCCAGGGTTTCTGTGTATGATACACTATTACAACAATGAGTAACTAAATGTAATCCATTTACTTTAATAATTAGCAAAAAAACCAAAAGATACAGCTAAGCTCACTGCCATCATGTCAGTTCTGACTCATAGCGAGCTTCTGCGGCAGGGTGGAGCTACCTTACAGAATTTCCAAGGCTATCTGTCTCTACAGAAGCAGACTGCTACATCTTCCTCCCACCAAGTGGCTAGTGGCTTCCAACCGCCAACCCTTCGCTCACTTAGCTGCTGAGCTCTTCAACCACTTCACCATTGGTCTCCAAATTTCAGCTACTACTGTGGTTAGGCTACCTCTAGCTACCAGGGCTCTGTTAAGGGTACCTCTAAATTCTAGGCCACAAGACAGAAGTTTTCATTGTATTCCTTGGGGCAATTGTGAAACCTTTTCTCTGACCCTAGAAGTTCATTGCTTTTTATTAAAAGGGGGGAAAAATGTACAGAGGCATAATCCTGTCACAATTCCTGTAGGAGCAGCTATTTAAATCTGTCATGGTTGAGGAAGGAAATTATTAGGAACAACAATGCTAGAAGATACAAGAGTAGCTTTATATTTCCTTTGCCTTTAAGCATAAGGAAAAAACAGGGTCAGGACAATGGAGGCAGTAGCTCCCGAGCCCTATGTGTGAGCAAATGTGAGTGATCACGGCTGTGTGCAGAGTTACTGATTTGTAAGATGATACATGTGCCCACTGGAGTTTTGACTGTATGAACTATATGACTGTCTAAACAGCATGGCCCAAACTGAACAAGACATTTCATTTTTTGATGCTTTGCCATCATACCTATATTTCTGAATACAGATGACTATTATATATCTTTCTCCTCTCGATTTGGCTCTTTTTGTTTTAGAAAAAATTCTCAGAACAGGATGCCGAGGGTCAAACTGTGTAGAATAGGGGTCCTACTGTAATGATGGGAGGAGAGCTCACTGTGAATGGAACAAACCGTTTCGGGCTGACTCTAGTTCTCAGAAAATGGATGAAGTGATGTTTCCTGCAGCTTTACTGTCCCATGCAGTGGTTGTCAGATTTCGAGCAGCCCCTGCAGGTCATTGCCGACTGCATGCAGCCGGGGCTGCTGCGTTGGCCCCGGCCCCAGTGCTGTGACTCAGGCTGTGGGGGTGCTGGTAAAACTGGGTCACCTGCTCCAGCTGCTCTGAAGTGCCGTGCCATTGGAAACAATTCTGCACATAGAGAAACCACAAGAAGCACACGTTTTATAGTTTCTCTTTGGATAATCAACACCCACCTGGGCCTCTTATTTTAGTCACTGAAGTGTAATTCCACCTACATAGCAAAAATATAATTTTTTATGCAGACACCCATTCCTCACTTCTCAATGTAGTTAGATGCTGAAGACCAGGCCGTTATGCGGAACTGGAGGATGACAACATCACTTCAAAACTGCCACACCCTGAGAATCATGGCCTTGCCAAGATGACACAGCACCATCAAAGCCCGGGCTAACTTCTGACTCCCGCCTCTGCACTTGTTACTGCCTCATGGATGACATCAATGTGCATAACCCACAAGTAGAAGATTTTTACTGTTGGAATGCTGTTATCAAATAGGAATCTGACTCCATGGCAGCGAATGTGGTTTTTGGTTTGAGATGTATAGATAGTATACAATGTATTTACTTACAGGATTTTTTCCTTCTCAAGTGTATGATGGTTAATAGTATAGGTGTGTGATAGTTGTACAATCTTATGGAACTCCAAGATGCACATACATTTACTTATTTCCTAAACTTGGTGTATAAGTGATTTGCAAGCTGTTATTCTAACATACCGTATAAAATACTGACTCTCAAAATCTGGTGGTACAGTAGCTAAGTGCATGGCTGTTAACCGAAGAGTGCACAGTTTAAAGCCACTGGCCACCAGGCGGGAGAGAAATACAGTGATCTGCTCTTAGAAGGAACACAGCGTTGGGGACCGTGTGGTGCATTTCTGCTCTGTTCTGCCAAGTCACTGCTGTGACTTGGAATGCAATTGATGGCAGTGGGATTTCGGTTTGGTGTAGAATTACTTGGGGAGGACTCTTTACTTTGATGAAAAGAATCATATTTGTGAAAACATTTGTTTGAAATTTATTTTTCACTTCAGTGAATGCTTATCTTTTCTTGAAATTGTTGCTGACTTTCATTGGCTGCTTTTCATTGAACTTGGATCTTAAATCGCTTATTATAATATGTGTGATTGAACCCGTGTTTCGACAGCTGTCAATTCTGAGTGAGGTCTGGCATCCATACATGTAAACTCTGAGGAATTCAATACATAGTCTTTGTGATCATCCTTTGCTTGGTTCCTGGCCTCTATTGCTTACTCTTTAGCTCTCTTTTTGTATTTATAATTGTTACATTTATAAAATCTGGTGCCTCTAGTTAAATGAGGAGGTAATCCCAGTTTAGAATTGTTAGGTAATACTTTTTTCTAATTCCTTTGTGTACTTTGCCTTTATTTTCAGGGTTTGCCAAGATGGAAGGAAGCCACATACAATGAGACTCATCATCCGTCGCTATTCATTGGAGAAGCACTGTAGCCGTGAGAGTCGGCAGTGCCCTATCCCATCCCATATAATCCACAAGTTAGGGACAGGTATGGACTAATTTTCTAAGAGCTTCATTAACCAGTTGAACTCTTGATAAAACAAACAACTTTGACTTAGAAATATGCTCCAAAGAAGCCACTCGGGGAATTAGCATTTAAAGACCTATATTGTTCTAGATAGGTAGTTTCACTTGAAAAGTGTATTTTCTTCTTTTAGATAATGAAAATCTTACGTTATGAAAATATCCCCACACTGAAGAAAATGACGATCATTGATTACTTGGCATGGTATAGCTTTTGTATGGGCATTTAGATCGTTTCTACCTTGGCCTATTATGAAAAAAGGTGCACACTTGGAAACAAGCTGAACTTATTTCCATTTATCTTGAATAAATTACAAGGATTACAATCACAGTGTCATATGGTAACTTGAAGGAAGGAGCCTTAGTAGTGGTGCTGTCTGCTAAGCATTGGGCTGATAACGGCAAGGTCAGTGGTTCAAACTCACCAGCCACTCTGTGGGAGAAAGATGAGGCTATCTGCTCCCAAGAAGATTGATAGTCTCAGAAACACTAAGGAGCAGTTCTCGCCTGTCCTAAGTGCGAAGAGTTGGAATACACTCAAACTCTACCACGTTTTTACCGAGTGAATGTAACATTTTAACCATCTAACCAACACTTGTGAGGACCGGGTTTTCCATATGCTTGCCTTCCTTTGGTTTTGGTGGTTGCTTTGATATCGTCGTTTGAGTGGCTGTGTTTTCCTTGTGAGTTTTTCTCTTTTCTATATACGCTTTCAGTGTCATATCCTAAGATGCTTCTCTTAACCAAGTATGTGATCATCAGATTTTTTGTGTGTTTTCTCTTAGAAGGTTTATAGTTTTAGACTTTCCACGTAGTTCCATTCCAAGGCTCTTCCTTTCTTTTTGTCGCAGGTGGGGGTATCCAGTGGTTTTGTCAGCATTTGTTGAGCACACTGTTCTTTCTGTGACTGACTTGCCTTGGCACCTTTGTCAAAAAATGCATCTATGTCCTTTTCCGTGAAAATGACCTTGAATACAATGTTGAATAGAAGTGGTGAAAGCTGCCCTCCTTTGGCTGTTTTTAATCTTAGGAGAAAGCATTTCAATCTTTCACCATCAAGTTGATGTTAGTTTTAGGGAGTTCTTTCAGCTGTGCTATATTAAGAGGATTTCTTTCAATTTATAGTTTTTGACAGTTTTTATTATGAAAGCGAATTAAATTTTATGAAGTGCTTTTTTTGGTGTATGTCTATCAAGATGATTATATGACTTTTTTCCCTTTGTTCTTGTAACACAGTATTATAAATTTGCTTTCCCTTTAAAACCTACTTTCATTTTGGTAATAAACCCCCCTTAATCATGACGTGCAATCCTTTAATATGTTACCGAGTTTGTTTTTTGTTAAATACTGAGTTTGTTTTTCTAAGGTTTTGTTAAGAATATTTGCATCTATGTTGCTGAAGGAAGGATAAGTGTTACTCTTTTTGATGTCATCGTATAGCTTTGGTATAATATTGGCCTCAGGATGAATTAGGAAATATTCCCTTTGGTTGTTTTCTTCAAAGTTTACGTAAGATTGGTATCATTTCTTATTAAATATTTGTAGAAGTCACTAATGGAAGCAAACATTCCTGGGATTTTGTTTACAGGAAGATTTTTAAATAGTCATTGTATTATTTTTTCAGATATGTATTAGATTTACTACCTTTTTGAGTCCATTTTGATTGTGGCTTTCTCAGAAGGAAGTGTATTTCATAGAAGTAAAATTTTGGAATGGAGTAAAGAATTTTTTTTAATAATCCTCTTTTTAGAATGGTGTTGTTTTCTCTTTAATTTCTGATTTTGGAAATGTGTAGTCTCTCCTTTTAGCTTGATAATTTTAGCTAAATGTTTTATCAGTTTAGTTGAACTTTTAAAAAGATTTAACAAAAAAAATTTAACCTTTAAAAAAAATTATTTTATTGGGGGCTCATACAATTCTTATCACAATCCATACATACAACCATTGTGCCAAGCACATATGTACATTCGCTGCCCCAACGATTTAACTCTTATTAGTTATGATACAATGTTTAGATGCTTTCTTGTAAATATTTTATTTAGGGAACTATGATGTGGTGACATCAATGACTGATATACTTATGAAACTTTTTCGAAATATGGTGAATGTGAAGATGCCATTTCACCTTACCCTTCTAAGTGTGTGCTTCTGCAATCTTAAAGCACCAAATACTGCTAAGAAAGGGCCTATTGACTATTACTTAACACCGTCAATATCAACTTCACGCTCTGGCAAACGTGCTTTTGTAAGTATACTTTTCATTTTTTTAAAAAAAATACTCATTTTACTGGAGGCTCTTACCACATACTGTGTCTGGATTTGTGGGGCTACGTTACTAATCTAAGTTTATGTTTAATTGATTAGAGATGTTTGGATGATATATTATTTCATGAGTTCTTGTGTGCAGCTTATGCACGCATGTGAGGTGGTTGAAGAGACACAGCTAAATGATCGGTGCTTTTGAGAACTTTAGAGAGTGCTTTTGAGTAGGTTTGCACAGGTTAAGACGTCACCTGCTTTCTGGACTGCTGAACCCAATGAAAGACATTACGTGTTGATGTAAATATAATGAATTCCTGACCATTTCAATTTTTTTCTCCATTTATTTTGAGATTTTTGTTTTCTTTACTGAAGTCTTTGACCTTTACCAGTGAGTGCTTCAATTTTTAATTTTTTGCAAACAAGGTTATTGCCATATGTATATATTTCATTGTTAATGAGTCTTCTTCTAATCCTCATATGGATTTTTATGTATTAAATATTTGCTCAGTCATTAGATTGAATAAGCAAGGTGAAAGTTTGCAACTCTTTGGCATAATTTTTTCAATTTTGAACCATCTAATATCGCATCGTTCAGATGACTTACACTTGATCCCTATGTACGGTTTTTGTTTTGTTTTGAATCATTTTATTAGGGGCTCATACAACTCTTATCACATCACAATCCATACATACATCAATTGTGTAAAGTGCATTTGTACATTCACTGCCCTCATCATTCTCAAAACATTTCCTCTCCACTTAAGCCCCCGGCATTAGATTCTCATTTTTCCCCTCCCTCCCCGCTCCCACCTCCCTCATAAGCCCTTGATAATTTATAAATTATTATTTTGTCATATCTTGCCCTGTCTGACGTCTCCGTTCACCCACTTTTCTGTTGTCCGTCCCTCAGGGAGGAGGTCACATATAGTTCCAACCCACTTTCCTTCTACCCTCCCAGTATCGCCACTCAGGCCACTGGTCCTGAAGGGATCATCCGCCCTGGATTCCCTGTACTTCCAGTTCCTATCTGTACCAGTGTACATCCTCTGGTCTAGCCAGACTTGCAAGGTAGAATTCGTATCATGATAGTGGGGGCGGGGAGGAAGCACTGATGAACTAGAGGAAAGTTGTATTTTTCATAGTTGCTACATCGCACCCTGACTGGCTCGTCTCCTCCCCAACATATGTAGGTTCTACATGAGCACAATTAAAGTGTTTTGGAATTTGCAGTACTTATAATGCTATCCCTAGTTTATGATCCACATGAATGCCTCATTCAACATTTTTGTGTTGCCAGAGAATATTGAATAAAACCATGGACAGCCAAAAGAAGACACAAATCAATCTTAGAAGAAATCCAACCAGAATGCATCTTAGAATTCAGGATAGCGAGGTTTTGACTCACTCTGGATCCTTGTCAGTCTCTAGTAAAGGGTTCACATTTGCTAGAGGGTCAGCAGAGAAGAGGGGACCCTCTAAGATGGACTGACACAAAAGCCGCAACAGGGACATAGCATGTAAAGATAGCAGCTGGAGCCTGTCTTACAGCAACCACACGGTATCTGATTGTGGCTTTGGGTCTTAACTCTAAGTACTGTGCTCTAGGGAAACCGTGTAGTCAATTCCATTTAGGCAAGACATCCAGTAGAGCTGTTCCCTCCCAGTTTGGGACATGAGACTACATTTTATAACAGTATATAGCAAAATGATGGGGTAGCTCACATATAGGAAAGATTTTCTAGAGTCTCTTTTTTTCGTAATTATTTTATTGGGGGCTCATACAACTCATCACAATCCATACATACATCCATTGTATAAAGCACGTTTGTACATTCGTTACCCTCATCCTCCAAACATTCGCTCTCCATGTAAGTCCCTGGCATCAGTTCCTCATTTTTCCCTCTCCCTCCCCTCCCTCATGAACCTTTGATAATTTATAAATTATTATTTTGTCATATCGTACACTAGAGTCTCTTAAGTCAAATTATCTACCAGTTTCTACCAGGCCTTCCCTGTCCCCATTTTTCTGCTAAACTTGGTTATGATGTTTTGGGTTTTCATGGCAATATTGATATAATAGGACTATGGACTGGTTTTGTGGTTGTTGAAGTTGAGTGCATGGCAATTGACTGGCAGAGAGAGACCAGCCACGTTTTTAAATGACTAAAACAAGCCCTGTGCATGATAGTTCTGAGAACCTCTAGTCACTGCAGGTTTTTAATGGGGACTGTATGTTAGTCCAGGTAGACTAGAGAAACAAATTCATAGAGACTCATGTATAGGAAAGAGCTTCATATACAAGAGCAACTGAATGTTGAGAAAACATCCCAGCCCAGTCCAGATCAAGTCCATAAGTCCAATATTAACCCTATGTCCAATACCAATGTAAGTATTGAAGTCCTCTTCAGACTCACGAAACACATGCAATGATGCCGAATGCAGGAAGATCACAGGCCAGTGGGTACAAAGTCCTGTGAATCCAGTGGCAGTAGAAGCATCTTAGTGCTGGCAGGGGTCTTCATGTGGCTCCTCCATTTCCCAGGGCATAGGCTCTATCAGCGTAGCGCCATGTGTCTTGTCAGTAGAACATCTCTCAGGGAGTGAGTTGAGAGATGCAGTGAGTGTCTCCTGCCTCGAAGAAGGAAATACAGGAGCTCCCAGAATCCTCAGGAGAAGGTCATGCCCACCCAGAGGCTTCATTGGCTATATCCTGATTGACAAGCCAGACTCCATTCCTACACTATTAATCCTCAAATTGACACCAGATTATGTAACTACCACAGGCTGCTTTTTAAAAATAATGATTATTTACTAAGTTGTTCAGACCTGTGACTAACTCTTAATTTAAATTCATTTTCTTTTCTTTTTTTTTGGTTTAATCAAGGGTTTTTCAAATGTTTTAGATTTAAGTTTCAAATGAGGACAGAATTAGTGTTATAAAAATAATTAGTGCCCTCTTCTGAGTTCTTATATTGCTGACTCTTTCATTCCATTTGTTAACTGACATTTTAGTAAACATTTACTTTGGGGCTGCCAACCACAAGGTGAACAATTTGAACCCACCAGCAACTCCAGGGGATGATGAGGCTTTCTGCTCCTGTTGAAATTTACAGCCTTGGAAACCCATAGGGGCAGTTCTATCTGGTCCTGTAGGGTTACTATGAGTCAGAATTGACTATATGGCACTGAGTGTAGATAGTGGGTAGAGCAGGGTAATTAGAGACCCTCATTTGCAGAGGACTCAAGGACTAAAAAGTAGTAATGACTTGTACAGGCCTGGCACACAGTGAGTATTCAGTAAAGGCTCTGCCCACAACCCTTTCTCCTTTGTTTTTTTTTTTAATGTGTTAATTTTCACTGAGCATTGGACTGTACATAACATTTTTATGATGTTTAAACTAGAGGGGAAATGAGTGAAAAACATTCTGTTCAACGTATCATTTCAGAACTTGGGATAGACATTGTTAGAAAGCCAGTCCATATTGTACTGTGAGAGCATTTTCTTTTTTATTGTTTGTTTTTAATGCCCTCAGTCATTTACTTCTTCAGGTTAGTCATTTACTTCTTGGGCCATTTTTCTTTAATTCACAGAATTGAAAGTTTGAATAAGTGATTGTTAAGATATTTTCTAGATTTTTAAATGCTCAGTGCCATTTAGGAAGGAAACCTTTTCTACAACAGAGTGTAAAGATTCATGTAGTAGTGTGACGTGGTGGTGACTTAATATTCCCTAGTTGGGTAGTTGCCAAATAGGGTTGAAGTTATTTAGTATGCTAGTAATATGTTGTCATAAAACACACTGCAGGAGCATGGATATGTAAAGAATATCGAAAGTTGAAATGACTCTGTTGTCCTTGTATTCTAGAAAATGAATGATACTCAATTGGAAGATTTTTCCCAAGACAAGGAAACAAACCAAGATTTTCTACCAAGTGAAAGAATCAAAAGTCCAAGACCTGCAGAGTCTCTGCTAGATAATACCGCGTTCTCTCACAAAAAAGATAGTAATGTGCTCGCACTCAACTCACTTCCTGAGGGTATTGACCAAGATGTTTTTAAGCAGCTACCAGTAGACATTCAAGAGGAAATTCTTTCCGGAAAATCCAGAGAAAAATCTCAAGGATCAGGAAGTTCGAGTTATCCATTGTATCCTTCTCGAGGAATATTGTCTTTCTTCCCCACAAAACAAATGCAAGGTATTCCCTCCAATCCTAACAATCATTTGTCCAGGAGCAAACAGGGACCCTCTGTCTCTCCATGTGAAGCAGGCACATCAGGCCTAGACAGCAGTAGCTCCTCTCACCTGTCGAGCCAAAAGGGTTATGGAAATGGACCAATGAGCCAGAAACCTAAAGAATCTCAAAGATTGGACTCTTCACATACCAACCCTGCTGTGTCTGCTTTTCATTCACTTTTTCCCGAAAGTCATACTACAGATAGCCATAAGCAACCCATAGCAACAGTTTCTCATCATGAAGGGTTTGGAGAAAATAGACAACAAAGTTCTGCTGAGGAGAAAATGACCCTCCCTTCTGATATCAATCCCGAAGTTTTCTATGAACTGCCTGAAGGAGTACAGAAAGAACTGTTAGCAGAATGGAAGACAACAGGGTCATATTTCCAACTTGTACGTAAATAGGCATGTTCAGAAAAGAGAACGTTTTAAAAAGGTAAATGCTATTGTTCTTATATTAAATATTAATAGATTCAATAATGTAGAAACCTATATAAAATGTACTAGATAAAGCCAGAATTGTTAACAAGTAAATTCCTGTACAAGCCATAAGTTTACGACAGAAGAAATCATGTAAAATATTCTTATTCTTTCTAAAGCCATTTTGTATTGCTTTTCAATAAAAATAATATCATAGTCTGCATTAGTTCATTTTCCATTAATGGGAAGGAAAATGTATGTGCTTGATATAAAAAGAGTAGCAAAATCATTGCTGTGCTATGGAGCAAAAATACAAATTTTCCTTTTAAATAGGAATAATTCATTGAGACAAATAAATGCAACTGCTGACCTATTAATCATGTAGATATATTTGATTCAAATACTGCATATAATGTAATAAAGTTGATTATTTTTTAAATACCATAGTAATGCATGCTCAATGAGTGCTGTCCTGGTGGCATTCTGGGCTGTGCATTGAGCTGCTAACCCCAAGGTCCACAGTTTGAGCCCACCAGCTGTGCTGAGGAAGAAAGACTTAAAACCCTTGGAAACCCAAAGGGCAGTTTTTTTCTGCCCTCGTTGTCAGTGGACTTGATGGCAGGGTGCGTGAGTATACTGAGAACGTACGACAGTGCCCAGCACATAGAAGCACCTGGTTGATAGTGAATGAATGCTGTGGCTGAGCCCACGTGGCCAGTGAGGAGAGTATGTTGTCTGGAACAGAATGTTAGATGAATCCCTGTAAGGAGGTGAAGGAAAGTATGGACACCAGACGTGCAAGGCTGTGGACCTGTAAGAACACTGGGTAATTGAACCAGCTAGCCAGTTTGTAGGGTCTGAACATAATGGATTAGCTAGATGTTACTGCAGCTTTTCTGCATTTTTGAAGGGTATCTCTCTCGCATGGCAAATACACATGGTTACTAAATTGGCAGTTGTCCTCTCTCTCCTCTTGTCGTCGTCGTCCCATTTGCCTGCCAGGTGAAATATGGACATAAGATTGAGGACATCCTTCCCCAGCCAGCAGCATCAGCATCTTAGGAGAAAAGCAAAGCCTAGAGAGAGAGATTTTGGGGCTTTAAGCCCCCAGACCAGTGAGTTGCTATTGAGCTGATTCCACTATGGAGCCGACGTGGACTGCAGAGCAGACCTTGATCTCCAGAAGAGAGAAGGCTGATGCTTTCTGAGAGTGGATGCCCAGGGTTTCTTCTTTAGTGCCCTGAATGGGTTTGGTGAATATTTGGGTGCTTAGTCCACCTATGATTCCACCCAGGCCCTCTTGGGGCCTAAGGCCGTTTTACTAAGTCCTTCAGGTTTGTAAGATGGATATTCATATTAGAGAATCACTGTCGGAATCCCAAACTGTGGCCCATAAACAGGAAGCACAAACATCATCTAGGAGCTTATTAGATATGCAGTGTCAGACCCCATACATACCTGTTTAGTTTGGAGTATGAATTCTAGCAAAATCCCAAAGTGATGCAGATTAAGGTTTGAGAAGCACAGCCCCAGCTCAATGTTCTCAGCCCCAAGGTTCATTTTAGAAACATTTGAAGAACCTTTAAAAAACACTGGTATTTTGGCTTAAGCCTAACTTATTAAATCAGAATCCCTGAGGTGCTACCCAGAGAGCAGTCTATTGATCACTCCCTGGGTAATTCTAACAAGTTCTTAAGCATTTATCTTCCTACTTAAGAGAGCCACCGTGCTTTGCACATATTGGGCACTGAAATATTGAATAAATGAAATGACAAGTGATTGGAATCCCTGATAGAAGAAACAGAAAAACAAGTGTGGTGACGTGAAATTTTTGAACATGGATCTTCTATCCAAGTCTCTAACTACCACCAGACTATCAGGTGGGACTGCAAATAAGCTGTGTGAAACACTGATGGGGGTGGGTCATTTTCATCTGCCATTCCCTTGACTAAGAGAGTGCTCTCAGAAGTAGGGAGAGAGAATCCCTGGGACCATCGAGGAAGAACAGCCACCAGTGCAGCACTTTGGAAATCCCTGCTTGAAGCGGTGGAGGCAGTAGGTACGACGCCAAGCTATGGCAGTTGCATAATCTCCTGTCAACTTGCAAAGGGGTGGAGTTTAGCTTGTCAATCAGGCCATAGCCAATGAGGCCTCCGTGTGGGTATGATCTTCCCCTGAGGATTCTGGGAACTCCTTATCCTCCTAGAGGTGGGACACACTCTCTGCTTGTCTCCCTGTTGACAAACCACATGGAGCTACATGCTGATGGAGCCAGAGCCCTGGAGCTGGAGGAGCCACGTGGAGACCCACATCAGTGATGAGATGCTTCCACCACTACTGGATCCATGACTTTCTACCCACTGGCCTGTAATCTTCCTGCACTGGTGTCATTGCATGTGTTGCATGAGTCTGAAGAGGAATTCATGGACTGGTATCGGATATAGGGGCTAATATTGGACATAACGGACTTGAACTGGACTGGGCTGAGATGTTTTCTTAATATACAATTGCTCTTTTACATAAAGCTCTTTCTTATACATGAGTCTCCCTGGATTTGTTTCTCTAGTCTACCTGGACTAACGCAGACACTAAGACCAGAAACTGAGGCAAGGAGACTGAGAGAGAGGGCAGACGAGCAGGACCAGACCATAAGACAGAGGCAGAGCAGTGGGGGGGCTTCCTGGCCTGCAGGGGCAGAGGCCAATGAAAGGCTGAGGACCAGAGAGATTTGGTTGCTAGCTGAGGAGAGGTGCTACTGTGGAACAATCACTGTACCCTTACTGTTTACTGACCCTGGCTTACCATAACCTGTTAACTTCCCT